CTTCTCAAGTAATGCATAACATCGTATGTATTTACAAGAATGTTGTATTAATAGATTTTACTTTAAAATATTTCAAATATTTTCGGGTTCTGCGTAATAAATATATCTGCGAATGCTTGAATCATCCCACATGAATATTAAGAGTTCAACTGAAATAGTTCATTAGAAATTACAAACACAAAAGTTCTCGGAAACAATTGTTATTTAATTTGCTTTATTAAAGCACCAGCTGAACCGACGCGAATCGCATCTGTTTAAAAGTATCCGGTTTATATTTTTCATTTCGGCCAATTCAACGCATCGGCTATTAGACTATAATAAATCTGTGTCTAATTTAGTAACTCATATAAATATAGATTTTTTTGAACTATTTAAAAAGTGTGACCTTAATATAGTATACTAAATATAAAACATTTTTAATTTTTATTTATTGTTTTTTCATCTAAATTAGTGATCTGATCTTGGTCTTGCGGTCTTGGTCTTAGTATTGCACAAACAGCAAGACCAAAAATAAAAATTTTCTTCGGACAAATAAATATTCTAATGAATTATTCCTTTGAAGATTGTTTTGCATTAAATTACTAAAAATAAGTAGATAATTTTATTTTTATAAATGTTCTATGTAGAAAAATCTACTTAAAAAATGCAATATTTGCCAGAGTCTTGCAACAAGACAAAGACCAAAATAAAGACTCTTTGCAAGACCAAGATTACTTGTTAACAGCAAGACCAAGAGCTAGACCAATACTAGACCCTGCAAGACCAAGACCATGATTACTTATTAACAGCAAGACCAAAACCAAGGGAGTCTTCATCTTAAAAAAGAGGTATTATAAAAAGAAGTAAGAAAAGGAAAAATTACAAATCATCCAAAATTTTTAAACTTACTTTTCACTAAACATGTTGGCATTATCATTAGGGGGTTAAAACAATGATTAAAGAAAGATATCATTTAGTTTTGGTGTCAAAGATTTATTAGAAACGGTTTGCCAGTGGAGGTGCTATACGAATGTGGACGTCGACATCATTGTGCGCTGGATGAATACCATGATAGTAAAACGCATGATTATCTATGGAGCAGTTGCTTGGTACACAAAACTAGAACATCGTACAGCAAGGCTAAATCTGTGCAAAGTACAGTGACTGGCATGCATCTGCATTACAGGTGCCATGAGAACATGCCCAACAGCAGCAATGGAGGTCATCCTAGACCTAACACCACTGCATATTGTCGTCGGTAGTTATGCCAATGCGACAATGATTAGAATGATCATTGACGGAAACAGTACTGGCAGAATTTTCAGGTTCGGGGCTTGGAACACTCTCAAAAAGAAAATTCCACTTCTCCAACTCCCAGTGGATAACATATCAAGAATTTAGAGCTTTGTAAAATTTAGTATTGAGTAATAAAAAGGACTGGAAGGGAGAAACGTTTGCTTAACATGTAAAAGACCATACCATAACGCAGTATACTGATGCTTCCAAAACAATCTTCGGATTGTCACAGGGTTTATAACAGGACACTGTCTCCTCAACGAACACCTCAGTAGGCCGAAGCTGAGAAACAACAGCGAATGGAGATTCTGTCCGGAAAATTGGAAACACCAGAACACTTAATCACTGAATGCGCCGAGACGACAACCGTTCCTGCTATGAACTTTGGTACGGCTGATGTCGAGGATGGAGAGCTGGCCTCTAATGTGGAGCCGTCTCAGATACTGGCTTTTATTAAAGCCCTGAGACTTTAACTATAACTCGTTATAACTCAAGAAAGGGGAACACACAATAGATCAGTAAGATCACGGTGATTAACTCTCCTCCTGAACATTCTACATTCACATCATCTTTGCTATATTTCATTCATTTTCCAGTTGGTAGAAGAATGTTAAAATAAACAAGATGATTTATACACTTTAGCACAGACTCTAGTAATTGTTCTTATGTCTGAAAACCATTGCAGGCTGTACAAATTACTATTTTTGAATCCTCTTGTTAACAATTTCACTCTAATGCAAGTCCTGGTGTTTTTTTCAAACAATTTCTTTTTAAGATTGTACACATTGCATAAAACTAATTAAAAATTGAATAAGAATCAAATATAGTCAAAAAACTACAACAAATTCGCAGAAATTGAATTACTTTTAAACGTTCAAATTTTTTTTTTCAATATGACTAGCAAATTGTATTTTCTAATTATTTTTCTGGAATGATAATGTTAGAAACCATTTATAAAAAAATTAGCAAACTTATATTACGAGAAACTAAATATTCAAAATCCTAGATATTTAAATTAATTTGACCAAAACCCATAATAAAAATAAAAATATATGATAAATAATTATATCTCCTTGAATTAATATTGCCTTCTTCATTTTGTCAAGAAAATGTAATAACCTTTTATTCATACAAACAAGGGTGATATTTGCTTAAATTTGTCATATAATTGTCAATAATAATAAATTTTAGCTTATTATTTTTTATTTTCCATTGTTCATTATTTATTTTTAACCTTTATTTTAAAAACAGCCAAATTTGTATTAGTAAACAAACAGTTATTTAAAGAGTGTTTTCTAGTAATTTATTATTGCAATTATTTTTAAATCCAGCCGATGTCAATGACGAAAACAGAAATAAGTAAGAACATTTTTATAAACAATTTGTTTTTGCAGTTTGTTTTCATTACTGCTATTGAAATAAAAGAGTGAATAACCTCTTAATGAATTTAATAAGTCAAATAGAGTTTATTCCAAGTATTTTTAAAACTTAGATTTAACACAAATGTCAAAAACAACGTGTAACAAAAATGTATATGGGGATATTGTCTACAGGGTTCGGCAATAGTGTGTCGGGCATCTGTAGCTCTTATAATAAAAAAGTTAGACATTTTGTTTAATTGCAAACCTAAAGTATATATTAGAATGTATTTCAGGAAAATATTTTTCCCTCTACAGGATGGCTCAAAAAAGTCTGAGTGGATCGAAATGATTTTTTTTTAACGGTAACACCCTCTATATTATTGCATTTTTGTCTTCATTTTTGATCACTTTACATAATCCTAAGATATTATTAAATATATATTGGTAGCTTTAACGTTATTATTAAATAAATAAAAAAATAATGTTTTTCGGCCTTTTTTAGCAAAATTATTAAAAATACAAGAAATGTCCTGAAATCAAAAGTATATTTGGTATTTATTATACTGGGTCTGTACTTACTCTGCTACAAATATCGTAATCTAAAACCATACAGGGTGTTCAAAATTCTATCGCAAACTTTCAAAAATATAAAATAGTTTTTCTTTGTTTTTTTTAATGGAACAACCTGTATATTATTTCTTTGTTATATTGAGAATTAATGAACACTTTTTGTATTTAAATTATTTTAAAATGTTTAACTGTTTTATGGTCATTCCTGGCAGGAGCGGATACAGAAATTTATTTTAGGGGGGGCCCAAAATGAAAAGCCATGTAGAATATGCTTTTTAGGGTGCTATTTTTAACCCAAAAGCCTAATATTTTACACAATTCACAGACTTTAGGGGGGGGGCCCGGGCCCCATGGGCCCTTCCCCTGTATCCGCCACTGATTCCTGGTATGATATTACATATCGCTACTTTCCGACAAAAAATACGGCACAACTCAAAATTAATCAGCTTTACAGTAGAGGCAATTGAAAAATCATGGTATGTTTTCTTACACAACCAATTTTTAACTAATCCTTAAAATTGGGTTTGATACTATATAAGTATAGTTTTAAGTAGTAAGTTAAGTATTTAGTATTCAAAATGCTTTTTTATTACTATGGTTTAGAAAAACACAAAATCACAAAGTTTTGAGTTGTGCCGCTTTTGTCGGAAAGCAGCGATACCGGGTTTTCAATAGTAATTTTTTTATCAAAGCCACCTAATGGTTATTGTCAGGTATTTTACCGTTAAAAGAGCCATATGTAATAAAACCACGAATATTTGCAAAACCTAACACTCTAAATTCTTAAAAAATGCTGTAAGCGCTTGTCAAGATTTTAAATACTTACTATAATTTATCTGGTAATATGACACACATATTATTTAGCATACCCATTGTATGCTGAATATACTTATATGCATGTTTGTGCAAATTGAAATTGAAAATTTAAATGTATAATATAATTTTTATCCTATGTAACCAAATTATTTTGCAGGGAAAGGTCAAAAGAAACAGTTTTTATATGAATAAAGCATTCTTTTTAAAAAACATTTACCTCCAGAACATTCGTATTTATTCATTACACCCAATGGAATAAAATGGTCAAAGAAGGAAAATTGGGTGGGTCTGGTAAACATTAAGTACCTCAGAATTTCGCAATTTTTATTTTTTTAGTCGAAAGCTCTATCGCTATAGGACAGTTTAAAAGCAATAAATCCTTGGATGAAGCACTTTTGAACAAAAAATTCATTTAAAAGTGTCTAAAATGCTAACCAATATATCACAGTAAATTATTAAAATAAAAAAACCACAGTTTAACACCCTCCACAAAGAAAAGCTAACCAAAGCAACCCAAATCCTAACCAATCTAATAATATTTTTGCAAAACCACAGTTAATTATTAAAATATAAAAACCACAGCTTAACACCCTCCACAAAGAAAAGCTAACCAAAGCATCCCAAATGCTCAAAAAAAACTGTATGATCCAACAAATTTTTTGTCTTGATATGCTCCACTTACAGTATTCTTTCTAAGAAATCAAAACAAAGTGTGAAATTCCGAGGTACCTAAAATTTACTAGAACCAATTGGGTTATATTAATTACTAACTGACAGATAATTTGAAATAATTATATTATATAGAATAGATGTTTTTAAAAATTAAAAAAATCGAAAATGAAAATCCATAAAATTTTTGAAGGGTCAAAGCATTAAAAATATCATATCAACTCATGATTCTATTTGCATTGATTTATGATGTGACAGCTTGGCAACAAAGAAATTAAAATAGGTATTTATGCTGTATTATTTACTCACCTAGGACCACTAATAATACCAAATACAGCTTCATGGTCACCGGATTAATGCAGGTACCGCAACCACTAGCCGACTCACTCGACCTGTACGACTTTTATAGGTGTCCCCTCTTTTATTTAAATTGTTTAATCACAATCAGAGGGACACTGGATTAACAGCAAAGTTGTTCTTATTATACAGGGAGGTCGAGTATGGCGCAATAAGAATCTCTAAGTAAGATTAAGAGGTGTATTTTAATGTTATATGACATTTTATTTCTTTTACACCAGCTATAAAGCTTGTGTAAAAGTTCTCTTATTGGATCTTTGGTGTGTCCATATTTCGAAATAAACAGTTCCCAACGAAGAACTAGTTTCGTCACTGCATTCTACCTGAAAAACGAGACACAGGCGGTGGGTAAGTACCCAATAGTACCAGAAATATACCAGTATATATCAGGAATATATCTACAATATTCCTCAATGGGTATATACCCAGATGATGTAGAGATATAGTTAGTAAGAGTGAGTTTTAATCATTTGTTGATGATGCTAATATACTTACTATTTAAAATTAAAAACTCTCATATTTTTTAAATGGCACACCAATGACTTTTCTGGTAGACTTTAGAAAGCAATTCAAATTTTAATTAGTGTGTTCATAAGTTTCGATATAAATGACATAATAAACTTTATTGTTGATTCGCCTTGTACATTCATACTTATCTGTATTCGACTTTATTGAAAAAAAAAAACAGTTTATATTATTAAAATTCAATTTCTATTTGTGACATGACGAAGAATTGCAGTTTTATAAAATAAAAATTATGCCCTTCGGATTTTTCAAAAAATTTCCGGATTACTAGATATTTCCAAATAAACATGCATCGACGAAACGAGGCCTCGGCGTCGACGAAACGAGTGGACGAAGGAACGACGAAGCGAAGGGACGAAGGAACGAAGTGAAGGGACGAAGCGAAGTAACGAAGCGAAGGGACGAAGTGGCGAAGTGTGAGTAATAAAATATAGCCATAAATGATTTTTTCAAATGTCAAAAGTGCTAAATTTTAAAATTGTAGAAGATTTCAAACACTATGCCACTGAACATGTGTTTTTGAAGTTCAAGTCATTTCATTTTTGTCACAGCAACATTGTTTATATCTTGAATCATGCTATAAAAATATAGTCTTACATAAATACTTCTAAGAAATTAACGATAATGGTACATCAAAACACAGACACTAGCAAACTTATTCACGAATGTATTACATTTTATAAGGAAGCAGTAAGTGAAGTGCAAAATTGTGTGAAATAAATTATGGAATATCTACATTATTAAGAGTAGTTGATATTAACTAGTCGTAGGTACATTAATTGGTCATCTAGATTTTCATTCATGAATTAATGAGAAAAATCTAATATAACAATGAATTTACTTCACAGCATAAACAATAAACATGTTATATCGCATAATTTAATTTTTTTTTTTTTTAATTTTACATACTGTAGTATGAAATATCAATACCATCAATACTTATTAGTACGAAGCTATGACTTAATTAACATATCCGCAGCATTTTCTCTGATGTCTTTCATCACATTCTAAAAATATGTACCTATATTTTTGTCAAAATTTAATTCAATCTACGATACTTGAAGAATATTTTAATATTTATCAAAAAAGAAAGAAAGTATAAAACTATAAGAAAGTAGGTATATACTTTCAAAAAGCTATTCTAGAATTTCAAGATATTTATTCCGTACCTATATCTTTGAAATTAAAAATGTTTTTATATTTATTTTATCAAAAAAGTATATAATATTGTGGCAACACTAAAGATTTCGACTTAATATATATTTTTATAGAAATAATGTCAAATACTACAAAATAATATTATGTTATTCTAATAAATAAATAATAATAAATAACTAAACACTAAATACCGTATGATCAAAAAAAAGCGATGCTATGAAATAAAGATCGCTGTCATTTTATATGTAAATTTTTTATATCGGGAATGTCTACGATCGTCATTTCCAAGCCAACTGGACGGCGTATTTTTTCGATTATACGGTACTTCCTTCTATAGAGAACATTATTTAATTCGCTTACTTTTTACTACCTTTGTGTTCTAAATTCACATTTAAATATAAGAATGTACAAAATGTTTAAGAACATTATCTATAATTATCTAATACATATGTATATAATATAAAAAAAATTCAATTTTAAAAGTAAATTCTAAAAAATATTTTTTCTAACATTTAATTCAATGCGGAACATAATTGGTATACAGGGTGATTTAAACATGACATCTTCTAAGAACACAATTTTTTTAAATAAGTATGAAATTATGTTTAGATCTTATTTTGTTATATGACTAATTTATAATATTTTTTGCAGATACATTTTTTAAAATGGCGGATGTAATCGTGATCAAAACCATTTTTCCGTATACATATTATGCCCCTTGGTTTATCATTGAAATTAAGAATATATTTTTAAACATCTTATTGTCTTTTTAAAAATACTTTCTACATGGATACTTGTTCAAAAACGACACTTATAAAATAGTTCACATAGTGCCAACTACTTCAACATTTCCCTACATTACGAATCCCTACAAATCGCCATTTTGTTGCTTAGGTAATATTAAATATATACATTTATTATCCTACTTTACTACATTACACTACTCTTCTTCACTACATTTTTGTGTATTAAACGTTGAAAATCTTCTCGACAATTTCCTCAAACTAGAAGGCCTATTACTAAAACTCGGCTTAAAGCACAACATATACGACGAGTTTGGTGGTTCAAAGTCACATTCGTGACGTTTTAACTCCTCTTCATTCATGGCTTTCCCAGAACATATTCGTTTTTGTTCAGAACGATGTACCTCAACATCTATAAACTCCTCTTCGACATTATCAATACTGGTATCCCTTGACTGTACTTGAGTTCGTTTACTACTTCTAGAATACCAAACTTTTTGACGTTTTTTCATGGTGTCTTTTTTGGAAAAGAGTTTTAAGATTTGTTCCCTGAATTTTGGATGGGAAATAGCGTAGACGTATGGGTCGATGGCACTGGCAGTTTTGCAAAATAAAGCTGGTATCATGGAGGATATAGGTGTTATTAGTTGTTTGTTGCCAGATATACCTAACAGAGATATTACTGAATATGGCGTCCAGGAGAAAACCCAAAGAAATATCATAGCTAGAATAGTTAGAGCTAGTTTGATTTCTTGTTTCCTTCTGGTTTCTTCCCTGACATGTCTGAAAATTGCCAAACATAGGTATAATATTCAAAATGTAAATTGTGCGGAGTCATCAACAATAATTGAAATAGTTAGCAATATCGTGTTAGAGGATTTTTTTGTTTTCACTTTGTTATACCGGGTGCGTCTCAAAAGTGGCTCAGCCATATAACTTTTTTATGTTTTTTTAGATAAAAAACGAGATTTGGTATGTTAGTATAAGACATAAATTATTATTGATTGACGTATTCAATTGTTTTTGTTCACTTTCTGTTTCACCGGAAATGACTGCAACTTTTGATTTTCAAATGGCACACCCGGTATATTTTTACTTTATTCGATAGAAAATTACATTCTGAATAGAATGACATATCATATGTCAACTTTTGACTATGTATTGTATTTTAAATTTCAATCTATAGTGCCATGGATGTGTTAAAAACACTAATATTTAATCAAGGTGCCTTGGAAAAATAGATTTGATCGTCTAATGATTTTCGTGTCTTGTCCGGGCCCGTTATAAGATGCCCAAATCGTATTTCATATCTCTATTTTTTTCAAATGGAATGGTGGCTCATTAGCATATTTGGAAAAAACATTTTTTACGAATAATTTGGTACCACACACTTGGTATTTCGAGTCAAACTGTCATTATGAACCGCATGTTATAATTTCAAATAAACCATATGTGAAAATGTCAAAAATTGACATATGCTACGCCATTCTATTCAGAGTGTCATTTCCTGTCGAATAATGTAAAAACACACCGAGGGTGTCATTTAAAAATCAAAAGTTGGAGTCGTTTCCGGTGAAACAGGAAGTGATCAAAAACAACTGAATACTTCAATTAATCCTAATTTATGTTATATACTAACATACCAAATCTCGTTTATTTATCTGAAAAAATAAAAATATTATAGGGATGAGCCACTTTTGAGACGCACCCGGTATATGAAATCGAGATTAGATCCATTTATTTCTCACCTTGTTTTGATTAATTGAAAACAAATTTAAATATCGTCAGAAAATTAATCATATTATTTAATTTCTGGCCGATAAATATTCGAATTTCTTAAATTTGTTGCCAACTTATTTCAATCATTGTTGATCGTTCCATAACAATTACAATAAAACTGTTCTACGTTGCTTTGTAAAAAAAATTATAAATTTGTGGAGGAAAGAGATTTTTAAATTCTATTCTAATCATTGGCGTAACTACAGGAGTGCCCGGGGGAGCCAGGCCCCTCCAGGTACTGCTGGGCACCCCCCAGAGAAATCTTGAATTATGACTCTTAATTTATATATTAATTTTAAGCTACGTATTAATTTATATTTGCTTGTGATGTACTAAAAATTACGTTTTCTAGTTTTGTTTAGTTAATATTATTTTGTTGTGTTTAAAAAATGTGTTAATTTTTATTTTTTTAGAAAATTTGTAGGTATTTAAGTAATCTACGGGAACACGGTTTGATAACCAAGTCTATGAAATTTACTGATAGAGAAATTCATGTAAACGTTTTATTCAAAAAACGTGTTTTTAAAATTATTCTTCATTTTTTAAAAAACAAAAGACCTAGGCCCCTCAGGGCTCAGCCCCAGGCCCTGCCCAGGATGAATTGCTAGCTACGCTAATGATTCTAATATGTAAAAAAATTAAGAGATGTAACTAAGAGGTAAGCCAATATATAAGAAAACAAAATAATATTGTCCTGAAACTTGAATTACAAAGAGATTATTGTTTAAGGAAGCGACTTCAGAAATAGCAATCCCTGCAAGTTTGCTAATATACCGAGTAATATACCCTTTCTTAGTCTTTCAATTCAATACTTCATTCTTACCTAAAAGATTCTTTCTTAGTTGGTGACCCAAATGACTTTTGTACCACCACCTGCAGAATTTTTATGTAACTAAACGTGATCAAATGAAATGGTAAAACCCAAGCGGCGACGCAAAAGACGATAATGAAGATTTTTATAGCTGAGTTGTCTGTTAGGTAGTCGAAACTGCAACTGACTAAATATCCCTCGTATTGGTACTTGCCAAGTCCTATATCGAAAAGTTGGATTGATGAAAAAACAGTGGCGTATATCCAAGATCCAATCTGAAAATGAAAAAACAAAACACTGTTAAACTATTAAGCTACCTAAATCTCGATTTTGTACATGACTCAGATCAATACTCTTAGAGTAACTGTAACTGTCTCTAATCAAAAAACATAAATCTAGCTCAAGTTTCAAAATGTTATAAAAAATTCTGATATTGCTGACTCAAACCAAAAAGTATTACCAATGCCTGACTCAAATTAGGTCCAAAAATTTACTTAAATCTTACAACAGTCATGTCAAAATTTTAAAGTTTTGAAAAATTGAATTCAAAGTGAAACATTTGGCTTAAAATATAAAATACACAAATCTACAAAATGAACTATTTTATTTTAGAACAAACGTTTTCCTAACCATAACCATATTACTACGATCAACAAATGATTGAGGTGCGTCATTCTTGAAAGAACCAATACTAGAGACTATACCTGTTAAAGGGCGAAATAGAAAATATCAAGATCATGTAGAATGTAGACTGTATGAGTTTGACAAAAGGCAGTATCTGAGACGATTTTACAGAGGTTAGTTCTCCATCTCCAATATCAGTTGTACCAAATTTTATGACACGAACGGTTGTCGTCTACCATTTACCCCAGATATCTGCATTCGTCGTTGTTTCTTAGCTTCAATCTACTGAAGTGCTCATTGAGGAGCCAGTAGTTTGGAGACAGTGTTCTTTACATTTTACATGACCGCCATTCGCTTTGGCATTAAAATGTGTGCAAGGGAACCAATTTTCAGAAAAAAATGGTTTCTAATGTTCTTAAAAATAAACAAAATATATTATTTTTATTTAACCTTTCGAGGGCTGTAACTCCTTCGGGAAGAATTTGAGGCCATATGTTCATAGGAACCTTTTGTTTTAATTTCAACTGATGTAGAATCACTAATAGAAACCTGTCACTGCAAACCCGATTGCGAACACTACGTTGTTACATATGGTCCACTCTTCTTTACGGATGCGAGACATGGACGCTAAAAATCGAGAATATAAATAAAATAGAAGCCCTTGAAATGTGGTGCTACCGGAGAATCCTTAAGAGTTCTTGGACCGAACATACAAGCAACGAGGAAGTTCTTGTACGGCTGAACAAAGATCTGGAACTGTTAACCACCATCAAGGCCAGAAAAGTTAGCTACTTCGGACACATAATGCGTGGCACTAAATATTATATTCCTCGTTTGATTATTCAAGAAAAAGTCGAAGGTTGAAGATGGGTAGGTCGAAAGAAACTATCATGGCTCAGAAATATACGGAGCAAAATAAAACACTAAATCACCACAATTCACCAAAACACTTTTACTTTTACACTGGACACGCGTTTCGCTAACCATGTTAGCATCATCAGCAAATGATTATAAACTAAAATACAATATACAATTGGAGCGTGTATATACTCGCTCAGTGGGCACAGAGTGGGCGTGTCAAGATCTAGCCAACCGAGTCAGAACCCACCGAGCGTAACAGTTAGATTTCCGCCACTAGAGTCGTAGGAACAAAGAACTTGAAGGAATTGGACCGTTGTCTCTGTTCATACTATCTTTATATTTATTAATTCTGATGCTTTCATATGCATCTAATTGCCTATAATTTCAGACTTGTTTAAGTAATTAAGATCTATACAATGTTTTTTATCAACAACATGTTCGGCAACGCAAGATTTGTCAGGTCTACTATATCTTATCTGAGCTAAATGTTCTTTAAATCTAATTAATATTGATCTTCTAGTTTGCCCAACATATTTCTGATTACAATCTTTACAAGAAATTTCATAAATACCCGACCTTTCCAGTAGAGGTGTTTTATCCTTTGGATTACCTAATAATTGTTGTAATTTATTATTAGCACTATACACAAGTTTATAATTGACATTCTTAAAAATTCCTTTTAGACCACAGGATAACTGTCTATCAAACGGTATTGAAAAATATTTTGACGTGTCTTTCTCCACTTGAAGAGTCGAATTTTCAGAAATCATTAACCTATACCTACGTTTTCTAATTATTTTATCAACAAGATACGGAACTGGACCGGTCTGGGGGTGGAGAGGCTGTTTCATGCAGCAGAAGATAGAGAACTCTTCCACGAAATAGTCATGGAGATCGCCAACGCCTGAAGACAGGCACGGCACCGCAAGAAGAAGAAGAGGTAGAATCACCCACCGAATTAGATATACTATTTTTTAAACACCCTGTATTGTATCTCAGAAATAGGGAATTAAAGAGGGCATGGAGAAGGTAGAGAAATATAAGTACTTGAGATACCTACAAGCTATAGAAACATGGACCATAAAGAAGCCAAGAAAATTTAACAAAAGTTTGCTCCTTTTCTAGCTAGATCGTTTATTTTTTCATTGTCTTCTATCCCTTGGTGGGCTTGGATTAGGTCCAACCTGAATTCTGGCAGAAATGGTGCAGAATGCGTGCAGATTCTGCAGGATAAGTGAAGAAACTATGGAGCACGTCATATACTCCTAGTCAATTGAGAACAGGATAAGGTTTGAGTTGTTCAATAAAACTTAGTTTAATGAATTTAATGGTAATCATCGTAACATGTCGCATGTCGCCTTTAGATATTACTACAAATGTTTTGATATCGAGGATAAAAAACTAATATACTTAATCCACAATAGGTTCTTTATAGCCACAGACAAACTTTTTGGTAAAATATGAAATAAAAATGATACAAAATAAATAACAAAATATTTTAGATTTAAATTTAGTGGTTACAAAAATGCCCCAATATTTAATTTGCACCAATGAATAAATTATTATGAAAGAGCCTATGTGTGGTTAGGTTAGGCTTATGTGAGCATAACTTACCACAGATGTTTTAATACGAATATCAGCATATTTTCTACTCAATGGATATGCAATCACAAAATATCTGTCGAATGAGATGGCTGCTAGAGTTACTATCGACGCAGTTCCGCTTAGTCCACCAATAAAACCATAGAGTCTACAAGCTAGAAATTGAATAAATAAAGCAAATTATGTGTATATTTCAAATGAGTTTACCTAAGTCTCCAAGAGCAGGTCCCCTGTTAAAGCTATTATAAATAAATATCGGCATTTTTGACATCATCAAACCATCACTGACAGCTAAATTCACTAATAAGGTGTTGGCTGGAGTCCTTAAAGACTTATTCCTAAAAATACAAATTTCTAATGATTGTTAATGGTGGACAATTTTTTAGTGGACAAACTAAACTATATTATAGTTTCGTTTTCATTCTTTAATAGATTTTTATTGATAGAATTTTTAATTAACGTCATATATTTGCTTATTATATATTAAAATTTAAAAAAAGCACATTTATTTAGTTCAATGCTACGTAAAGAGTATAAAATAGTTATCGAAAAATGTGATACTTTAACAACAGCAAAATATATGACGTTAAGCAAAATTAATAATAACTATCTGTCAAAGATTGAAATCTGAATTGATTTTTAGGACTTCAAATCTATTACTATGTTTTTGAAAATCATCTCTTACCTCATAAATAGAAATACAACCAGATAATTTCCGAATAAACCCAAGACCATCACAATAATATACAGAACGGCCAAAATAATAAAGCTCGACTTCTTTGGTGCATCGAATTTTAACCAGTGTATATTAATATCTGTCAAATGATCTTCGGTAAAGAAATGTCTCGTCCATTCTTTTACTTCCCATTTGCTTTTAAACTCTTCTATAATTCTGTCAATTGTCGTATTGTCACCTAACTCGTTTCTAGATTTTGAGATGGATATATTGAAACCAGCATCAGAAACAAGTCCCATTTTAACAAGAAGTATATTTTCATGGATGTAGGATAATCTAGAAACGAACTAATATATTAGTATTAATTAAAAAACAAATGAATTAGTAACTCAAGTTATCTTGAACAAAAAAAATTGGCGCCGGGAGGCACGTATAGCCGCCCATACTTGATATTTTTCTATATCTCAAAAACTGCGACTTTGACTGATGTTGATGTTATTACAAATTTTGTTGCAAATATTATTCCTAATCTTAAATTGAAAACCGCGTTTCGCTAGCCACTGTAATTTTGGAGTTACGATTTTTTAAAATTTTTAACCCCCTCCCATAACCCCTTAACAACCCCCCACCCCACCAAAATCTAATGGCTAGATTCTCGGGTGCCACAGTATTTTTGTGCCAAATTTGGTTAAAATCGGTTTAGCGGTTTTTGATTTATCGTGTTACAGACGGACAGACAGACAGATGAATAGACAGACAGACAGACACCATGAAAATATTTTGTATTTAGGTCATTTATGACCCAAATAACTCATTTTGAGTGAAATTAAAAAAACTTTTTTTGCCGATCTTAATAGCCTACCATACCTGTCGGCAGGGTTGGAAAAAATCATGATTTTTTTAAAAAAATAAAAAAAATCAGATTTTTTTGAATTTAATTCAAAACAATATTTAAATCGGATTTCCGAATGACTAGGACTTATTTCCAATTAAGGTTCTATCCTAAATGGGTAAATCTTTATAACACTGCCCGATATCGATAACATTAACAATTCTACAGTGCGTTTGTCATTTTTCCACATCGGCCACCAATATATTTCGCAAAAAAGTCGCTCGCTTCAGATCAAAAGATTTTTTTTCAAACGTCTCAAAAGGTTTATTTTTATGTCATTTTAACCCCTAGGCATAAAAGTAAAGTACTGTTACGCCTAAGCACAAAAGTACAAAAATATATTATTAAACTTATATTAAGTGTCAAATTCAACGAGTGTACATATTGTTGCTCGATTACTGTTTATATTAATTGCAATGTTTGAAATTGATAAAAAATGATTTGTAATCTTTAAAAAAAAATAGTATGTATGTTCTATTCGGAGTAAAAATGTACTTTTTGTGCTTCCTTGTAACGTCGGAATAGCTTTACGATGGTCCTTCAAAGGTACAGCATCATCAAAAAAAGTATAATTTTTACTCCTAATAAAACAATACAATATTGTTCGGAAATAATCTAAGTCGAGAATGAAATTAGTATTATCTAATGTCAAAGTGTAAAATACTTACTGCAGATCAAAATGTCGGTAAGAATTTGGAAAAATACAACCGTTTCAAAAAAAAATATAAAACAACATATTTCCAGACAACGATTATAAATTCTCGGGAATGAAGATATAGTCTCTATATCAGAAGAACCTAGATCTGGCACTTGACTGCGAATGATATTTATTCAAACAGCGAATTTTTGTCACTTATACATAAATTTTAAAATAAATCCCTGCGCTTAGCGATCTAATGGGTTCATTATTCATGAATAGATATTTTTATATAGTTTTATAACATTTACAATTACTTTTCGATGTATTATCTGTTATATCTTTAATAGAAATATTTTTTTTATAGTTTTCTAGGACACATTTTTATAACTTTTACAGTTATTTTTTGATTTATAATAAAGTTTCACTAAAATTATTTTTTTTTATTTAAATCACATGATTAAAATTAAAAAAAATCACTTGATTTAAATCACGATTTAAATCATGATTTAAATCATTTGATTTAAATCATGCCAACCCTGCCTGTCGGTATGGTCGGCTAAAAAGATATACAATTTTTTTAAGTTGAGTTTGTAAAACAAAGATGTTTTTAGTGTCCCTGGCAGGTGCTAGTGCACACGCCTTTTTACATCCCCTGCTGATGCCCATGACCGCCTTGTTGCAATGTCCTATGGAAAACAAAAATTTGGGACTAACATAATCAAGGTATAGTCTGTCCAATGAGAGGATCCATGACATAACAAAGAAAAATAATGTCTGGGGTTAAAGGTTTTCTTTTCTGTAAGCTATTGCAACAAGTTTTGTATCCTAACAATTTAATTTTTTAATTTTTTACAAATATTTACTGATAGACAGTAATGAAAAAGCAATGAAAAATATTTTATTAGGAATTATTCTTTATGAACTTAATTTATTTCATGTAACTTTAACAGAAAAATATGATTTTGTAAATATATTCCAAGATTCCAATTCTTCTTCATAATGGTAATTCTGAGAATAATGGTAATTCTGAGATATCCCTCTTTATTTTTATTATATCAAAAATGACATTGGCAGAGCAAAAAATGCATTTTTTACAAATTTGTGCTGCCTATGTTTTGAAAAGTTTTAATCTATCTACTAATTTTTTTAGAGAAAGTTAATAAAAGTGGCATTCAAAAACTATAAACTATTTTAAATAAACAAAACTTTTTTATTTTATTCGGAATCAAAACTTAAGGAGAGCTTTGTATACAGGGTGTCCAAGAAATAAGTATAAGTATTTTAACTGGTAGTATAGTTCAACCCCAGAAACACGCCTATAAGGTTTTTTTAGGGAAAAGTTTTTTTAAATTCGAAATTTTTTGAAATATTTTGTGTAAAATATTTTAGTTTTTAGTTAAAAAACATAATTTCTTGATAATATGGCAACATATGTTAGTAGGTATTAGATTAGATTTATAAGAAAGAAAATCCAGAAAAGATCCAGTGATTCTCAAAATTTTAGCAATTTTTTTTTTGAAATTTTCAAAGTAAAATAACTCCGTTATTTTGGACTTATTAAAAACGATAAAGAGAAAATATGTTTCTTTTATTCCAATCCCTTAAAATACTTGCACTTATTTCTGGGACACCCTGTATAGTTAGATTGAAATATTGACAGTGTTAACCTTTTATCACTGCTAATGAAAAATTGCTAATAGAAAATTGCTATTTTCTAAAAATATATAAGTAATTCACCGATCATAACTAGCCATGATCACCCGATGTCGAAAAATTCAGTGATAATTAAAATATCATTCATTCATTGACGGTAATTGTAAACAATCATTATAGACCGAATAAACTCTTCAAACGAGGATATTGTGACACCATCTATCATGGCATGATATTATTATGTTAATAACCCATATTCTTAAAAGAAACAGGATTTTAGTAAGGAGAAAATATTAACAGATAAATAATTCATTAACTATTGAGTTTAGGTAGGTATTATAAGTCAAGACAACTGGATACATTCACCTTATTTTGACGCTGAATAAAATAAAATGACTAAAAATATCCATTTTTATAGTGTATTTAATATAAATTTAAAATATTAGTTCAACACAATGCATCAAAACATTTCACTTTGCATCACAATGCAAAAATTATCATAAAAAAACAATAACTTCAAAACAAAGAATAAAAAAGGTTTCCAATCGGATAGGTTTGGTGCATTTCCGCCGGTGCTGCCATCATCGGAGAATATCGTAAACTGGTATATAAAAATACGCGGTTTTAAATAGCAAGTATACGAAAAATTTATTAAAAAATTATACTAAAAGTGTTAAGAACTATAATTGAGGCGTCAAGTTGCAAAACTCCCCTTATCCATTTTAAAAAATGCCTAATAATATACATTAATAGTGGACCCTGAAATCAACGTTTTTAGGATAAGGCGAGTTTTGCAACTTGATATTCAAGGGAGAATTAATGTCTCTTTAAAATTCTATTAAGGTTGCCTACCCCTCAAAATAATATTTTCTTAGATATTTTCATTTACATGATTTTATCTGAGTAGATCTTGATTATTTGATAAAATCTAGGTGGCTGTGATATATCTGACGTTACTTTAACACAGCTATCTAATTAGTCCAACTTTAACAACTAGTTATCATTTTGTGCCAGTTAAAACAAAACAAAAATAACTAAACCAAACCAAACCAAACTTATCCTACATCAGAGTGAATTAATAGCTATGTTAATAGAATACTTAAATATCTAGTCTGTTTTTTATGGCGTTATGTTAAAGACAATATTTTATGCAGTTAACAGGAACAGCATTTTGAGCATTTGATTTCATCTAGCTAATTTTTGTCACATAATTTTAGGTTTATATCTAGTTTTAATTCTGTAATAATTAAAATATGTGTTAAACGTGTATCTTTTTATTACCCTTGAATATTTTACTCTACAATCTTTAATTTTTGTTAAATTAACAAAATGTATATCACACAGCCACATCATCAAAATCATAAAAATTAAAATATCTAGGAAAATCTTTGTCTGAGGGGTAGGCAACCTTAATAATAATTTGAAGATATATAAATTCCCCATTGAATACCGGAAAAATATACTGGGTGTTCCATTTAAAATAAAGGAGTAACTGGCTTTTAAAAGCGACTAATGTTTTATATTAATTTCGACTGACCCTGTATAATTTTTCAGGACAAATTTCAATTTGGTTTAATATATAATAGTTACTGTAATTAATTATCAGGCTATACAAGGTCAACTTAAATTTGGGTAGTTGTTATCGAAATTTAAAATTTACTCATCTTCATGTTCACAAAATGTGAAATATTTCAAAATCCTTAGATTTTAGGTATATATGCTTGTTTAATAAAACTCACCTTTACTTTTTTCCTAGAATCCGAAAATCAATCTTAATATATAGGATGTTCCATTAGAAAAAAACACAATTTTGATTTGTAACTTGTTTTGGGGACACCCTGTATAATTCTATATATTTTTATAAAATGCTTTCAGTTAACCTACATAAGCTGCCAAAATTTCATTTCGATATAAACTACCTTCTCCTTGGAGCTTCCGCGGCGTATGGGGGGCGCCACCCTGTATATGAGTTTCTAATAAACCTGTGTTCGTAAAAGTCTTCTTTGGTATTTATATTATTCTACTAATATTAATTATTTTAGAAATATAAAATTCATTTACCCGTAAAATCTACAAAAATTTTTGACAAAAAGTCCTTATTTAGTATTTATATTATTTTACTAAGTAATATTAATTATTTTAGAAATATAAATTATATTTATCCGTAAAATCTATAAAACTTAAATTTAACTTTATTTTAAAATATACATAGAGTACCTGCAAACATTTACCCACACTTAACGGCAAATACTTTCAAACTGAATTACTCATCCTGCGATACTTGTTTTATAGGAAATTTTCCTGATTACATAAAGAAAGTTGCCGGACAAGCGGTCCCTCAGGACAACGGAGATAATGCCATACTTCTTACATAAACTTTAATTCGCTTTAATATAGTCGTAAAAATTTAATAACATAATGTACATACTGTTTAGAAAAACTAAAAATAAAATGAATAGTCTACTAAAAACACGTTCTCTAGCATTTCTCTAGCATTATTCGCAAATGAACTAGAAACTAATTATTTTATTTTCCAAAATGTTTACAAATTATTTTAACTTTTTTATAACAAAATTCGAAATTGCTGTTATTGATTTAATAGACTCAATGTAATTAAATAGGTAAATTAAGCATAAAAATTATCATGAAGTGTACAGGGTGATGAAACTACTACTTGTAAATACATGAATGATTTGTTAAATATATTTTTCATTAAAAAAAGTGTAAATATTTTGTTAAAGATTTCCCGAAATTATCGAATCGCTAATAGTTATGATTTTTTAAGTAGCAATATTTTACAGAATATCCTCACACAATGCCATACCACTCATAAAATACAATAGATTATACCGGGTGCGCCTCAAAAGTAGTTCACCCATATAACTTTTTTATTTTTTCAGATAAGAAAAAACGAGATTTGTTATGTTAGTATATGACCTAAATTAGGATCGATTAACGTATTCAATTGATTTTGGTTACTTCTTGTTTTACCAGAAATGAATACAACTTTTGATTTTTAAATGGCACCCTCGATTTATTTTTACTTAATTCGATAGAAAATGACACTCTGAATAGAGTGACGTATCATATGTCAACTTTTGATATTTTCTCATATGGTTTATTTGAAATTGTAACATACGGTTCATAACGAAAATTTGACTCGAAATACCAAGTGTGTGGTACCCTTTGTTGGTACCTAACAAATTATTAAAAAAAAAATGCTTTTTCCAAATATGGTATCGAGCCACCCTCGTTCTATTTGAAAAAATTGGCGCCAGGAGGCACGTATAGCCGCCCATACTAAAATATGTTAATATCTGAAAAACTGCGACTTTGACTGATTTTGATGTTATTATAAAATTTTCTTGCAAATATTATTCCAAATCTTAATTTGAAAACCGCGTTTCGCTAGCTACTGTAATTTTGGAGTTACGATTTTTTAAAATTTTTAACCCCCTCCCATACCCCCTTCCCAACCCCCCCACCCCTACCAAAAACTAATGGCCAGATTCTCGGGTGCCACAGTATTTTTCTGCCAAATTTGGTTAAAATCGGTTCAGCGGTTTTTGAGTTATCGTTTTACAGACGGACAGACACCATGAAAATATTTTGTATTTAGGTCATTTATGACCCAAATAACCCATTTGAGTGAAATAAAAAAAAAAACATTTTTTTTACCGATTTTAATAGCCTACCATACCTATTGGTATGGTCGGCTAAAAATTGAGATATGATTAAAAATACGATTTGAGCATCTTTTAACCGGCTAGGACAAGACACGAAAAACATTAGACGAACAAATCTATTTTTCTAAGACTTCTTGATAAAAATAAGTGTTTTTAACACAGCTATGGCACTCTCGATTGAAATTTAAAATACTAGATTTTTTTTATGCGAAAATGTCAAAAGTTGACATATAATTATGTCATTCTATTCAGAGTGACATTTTCTATCGAAAAAAATACCGAGGGTGCCATTTAAAAATCAAAAGTTGTAATCATCTCCGGTTAAACAGGAAGTGATCGAAAACAATTGAATACGTCAATTAATCGTAATTTATGCCATATACTAAGATACCAAATCTCATTTTTTATCTGAAAAAAATAAAAAAGTTATAGGGGTGAGCCACTTTTGAGACGCACCCCGTATAGCTTTGTATACACAAATGGCGATTAACAAATGCAAGACCAATACGTAGACTCCCTATGGTCTTGCAGTTAATGAGTAGTCTGGGTCTGGTGTCGTCTATATTTTCCAAGACCAGTCTCGGTAAGTATACAAAATATGAGTTAAAACAAGATATAATAATTTTCTCTTCTATTCAAAATGAAACACGGTTCTGAAAATAAAACAGTTTGTTTTCGCCTTTTAAACTAATAGGCGTTAGTCATTAAATATAAATTTCTAATGTGCAATAAAAATTGGACATTGGCTGAAAAGATCTCAATTAATTTTACAATAAAAATAAGTATGATTTACTGGGTTGATATAGATGACAATAATTCTCGTAAAACAGAAAAATTGGAAAATAAAAATTCATTATAGATAATTGGAAAAAAATAAAAATAAAAAATAATTCCTAAAAGATCATTATTATAAAATTCTTCCAACAAAAAATCTGATTAATTTGACTAAGTTTACAATTTTGAATAATCATTTATATTAATTAGGTATCTTTAATTGTGCAGAACTCGGCAAAAATATTATATCATTTAAAAAAAATAAACTCTCAAACAGAAAATCTGCTACAGAGTAGTGATGGATATTACGATTCTTTTTAGAGAATTCTCTAACACATTAAAATTGTCATACATTTTCAGACGTCTCTTTAATGTATTCTGGTATACGTAGTGGTACCTCCATGAACTATAACATGGATAAATTAATGGCAAGACACTTTTATTGTGTTCTATTCTTTAACTCTCTGGAGAGTCAATTATTTCTGACGCGACGGGGATGATATCTCTTAAAACAAATATTTTTCTTATACGTAGTAATTTATGTTCACTTACAGAATATCTGTTAAACTAGTTTCCGTCGTGTTTAAATCTGGTGGATTTATATCTTTTTATTTATGTGTAAAATATACAGGGTGATTCAAAAAACATGTGGCCTCTCTCTTGAGGAGATTCTTCATTTAAATATGAGACTTATTTTTTTATATTAAGATAGGTCATATTCTGTATTATTTCGTAGCTACAGGGGGTTAGTCTTTATTTTTCTTCGATTTATCTATTATAATTTTCTTCCAAGTATTTTTAGAGATTCGAATGAAATTTTGAGGGTAAAAAATACTATAAGTGCGACATATTTTAATGCTAAAAAAGTTTCGAGAAACTACTGCATATGGGTTAACAATGGAATATTTATCGAAATGTGAAGAAATGTATGAAAACGTGAAGAAAAATTGTGTAGACCATTTAATGGCCGATTAAAAGATGTTTCTTGATATGTTGTCGATTACGGTCTCCTTGACGAGATAAACGCAATTTGATTAATTTACCTTAATCTAAGTATAATAGCAACCTTTAAAAATGTCTAATGTCATTAACTGGCCAAAATATTAAGTAAGCATTGATTCCTCGTAAAAAAAATATAGAAAAAAAACTTTCTATAAACATGGGTGCAGAATTGCATCGTTTTAAAGTTACAGGATGTTACTAACTTGTAATTTGATGTAGGGTTTCCATAAAGGCTTTTGGAAATTCCGGACAAGTGAACTCAGAAATCCGGACAACATTTGGACATTACAAAAAAGAAACTATACATTTATTTATGAATTTTTATAGGAATCAAATAATACCCCGGAATCAACAAAATATAAACCAAAAAACATTCACTTTCCAGGAGTGCACCAAAAGCAAAAAATTTGAGCGTTAAAGTATAGAAATGTGTACTCCAAAGACATTATAAAGATAGACCGAACATCTCATTCATAAATACTCGTTGGTAGTGTATCAAACATTCCAATGTGTCAAACAAGGACAGAAGAGACAGAGAAATCTAAAATTTCCGACCCCGGCAACTAGGCGCATTTCGATTGTTCTAATGGCCAGTGGCGTATCGTTTTTTGGAAATTAAAAAAAAAAAAGTAAAAAAGTAAAATTTAAAAAAAAAAGAAAAAAAAGTAAAATTTATACTCCATATTAATATACTACATTAACACTTTTTCGTTAGATGAGGTCGGGTAACACCTTTGTTTATTTGTTGAGCAAAATTCCTTTAGAATATCGTATATAATGACCAGAAATGACGCAATTTTAAGAAAAAAATGTCACTTTCTGGCTTATAATAAAATTTCAAATGCAACGTTTATATTCAAATTTGTTATGATCTACAATAGTTAGGTAGTCATTGAGACGAATTATAATTCAATTACTGGTTACTACGTTCTTGTTTTAATAGATTAATTACAAATATAATTAGAAATTATTTTGATTGTGAGAAGCTCTCTTGTGGGACGCCTATGTACAATGACGAAAACAATACCCACCTGTGAAAAGACAAATTCGGGTAATTTGAGCTTATTTTCCCACACACTTGACACTGTCGTACCATACTGAATTCGCAGATTCAAAAGTACGTTAAACAAAAACAAAAACCACCGAAAAACACTGAAAATTCACTTTCGTCTTGATTCCGACTTCAAACACACCGCATGCTAAACGTAGTACGCTATAACGGACCAAGGGCCGTCGCGAGGGGTGGTGGGACGGACGGCTCATTTCATTCTGGAAGACTAGCAGCGACGTTGCCAATAGTTCTAGACGTTTCAGCACATTAAACAGTAAACATGTCCTTTAATAGTAACGCATATATCCTCTGGTTAATAACATATTATTATGCATGCTTCTTTAAAAATAAACTATTAATTTAATTAAGAAATTGAGATTTATTGATATCCGGTAAAGGTTTTAAAGTCACCTTTTCTGCAAATCAAACTGAGTAGATAGACGCAAATTTGAGATGTGGCAATGTCGCCTTCTCGATCTCAGTTGGTTTTTACAGTACGTAGTCAACCTCCGATTGTTTGATCGGGTTAAAATGTCTAATGTGATATCTGTTCTTACTAAATCTATGGTACTTTCCAACATGCGTCGGTTAAGTAGAGCTGTAGCATCGTAGAGACTAAAATATTCAACAAAGTAACTGAGAAATTAATTTAACTATAACTGGCAAAATATTTTAGTAAGTTAAATTGTTTTGTGGTCATAGGTTTCCTGACCTTTCCGGTCCACACTTTGGGATGTCTCGCGCTCGTCTCGCTCTCGTCTCGTCAGGTCTGTACGCACCTTAACGTTGCTCAGCAACATCACTATGAACAATGTCACTGTCAAAACAAGGACCTGTTACGCAGGAGAGACTATATAATTTAAGAAAAAGCCCATCTTATTTTAGCAACTTCTTAGATATCAAAAAAATGGCAGTAGATAAAATTCTTGTGATATATCAAGAAATACCTATGTAAAACTACACAAA